TGAGTCCTGCTAGTTTATGATCACCTGGAAATAGTTAATTTTTTGTGTCCTTTTCAGTAGTATTCCTATTCTGAAAATTATAAGGACTTAGTGTTGAAATTTATTGAACACATGATTAAGATATCATAAGGATTTTCTTTAGTGACAAGCTTATTAACTGTTTTAAAATGAATATATTTAAATAATAAATGAGTTACTACTGGGCCACTCTATCTTGGCTAGGGAAGGTTGTTCTTGTAACTTAGTACCAACTTTGAGTTGTTGAATTTATTCAGAATTTTTCCATATGTATTTATAAGTGTTTGTGTGTGATTGTGTATGTGCATGTCTATGCATGTTAATGGTGTTGGGGGTTGAAGTGGGGTTTCATCAGGAGCTCTTTCAGTTGCTTCCTCTATCTTTCATTCTGATGAGTTTTGTCATTGGTGGTGAGAACTTCCTTACACTCTGGGACTACAGGATGCTTCAGGGTCATCTTCTGATTTCCTACCTGAGTCCTTTTTTACAGAATGGTGTTAGAAGCCAAGATCTGGATGCTAGTTGTGCTTGTTGCTACTTGGAAGGAAGGAAATATTTGCATATATATACAAAACCATTAAACAAACACATATCTGTATATATTTTGTGTAACCATTTGTTTATGTTAAGCTAACCACGACCTCATCTGATGTCTCTGATTTTATTAGCACACGATCATTTTAGTCTTTCCCCTTTGCCAATCTGTAACTTTCAGTGCAACAGTGAGAAACTTGATTCTCACCATCTGCCATCTATTTACTTAATTGTTCAGTTATACCATATGTGTAGAGTGATATCAAATTGTTAGCCTGTACCCCATAGGAAATAACTCACTGGCATATAATGTCACATGCAGGTTCTATTGCTTTTAACTTGCAGATGCACTCATCTCCAGTTGCTGAAGGTGAGCATATTTCTCCTCCATCCCCTTCAGTGAGATTGTTTCACCCATTTCTAATATATTTGCATTGTTTTGTCACTTTTACATTCCATCCTGGGATAACCTGACATTCTGAATAGTTTTTTGAAAATTTGAATATATTAAGGTTCATTCTCTGTCCTAGGAGGTTACAGATTTTCAGAAATGCATCGTGTCATGTGAATACCATTATGTCACACAGAAATGTTTGATCACCTTAAACATTCCTGATGTGAATTTCCAATCCTTTTCTTCTCCCTAAACCCCTAACCCCACTGATCTTTACATTGTATCTATATTTTGCCTTTTCCAGAATGTTATGTCATTGCAGTCACAGAGCAATGTAGCCTTTGCTACAATTGGTTCCTTTTACTTAAGATGCATTCATGCCTTTCTGTGATTTGATATGTTATTTCTTTTCAGTTTTTCATTAGGATTCAATTTCTCTTCTATTCTTGAATAAACCAAGCATATCCAGGTATATATCTCTTGATTTTACAAAGTGACACACTAAATGAGTTAAGGAAAGCTAAGAATTAACTATTTTTAAAAATTTTTTCTTTATTTCCTGACCCCAGTGATTTTACTTTTGCATGAAAACTTATTCCAATGCCGTGTTACCTTGTTTCAGATCACAAAATGAGATGGAAAATTTCCCAGTTTGTTTTACAAACTAGTAAAACGCTCACTTCCTAAATTAGATTTAAATAGCATACTGTTGTGACCAGTGCCATTTGTAAGTTTTGAATTTGAAGTTTAATTTTTTTTGAAGATTGATTTATTTTTATGCATATAAGAACTGGGGTACAGGCCAGAGGTGAAGGGGGTGGATTCATCAGAGACAGTAAGGAACAGAACAGGCAGACTGACTGAAATACACTTCTGTGGGGAGCAGCAGGCAAGACAGGAGAGGTGTGCTGCACCATGTGGGTAGTTCCCTGGCCAGCTGGGGAACTTGGGCTGCAGAGGCTGCAGACAGCCTCATAGTGCTGTGCTATAACCCCTTGCGCCACCAGGGAGGCCCTTGAAATTTAATATTGTATTAATAGGAGTATTTAAAATACGAGAGAGGAAGAGGAAATCTCCAAGTCATCCTTATAGACGAGGAACACAAAAGGATGTCATGCACTCATGCTGCGAGAGTCACATGATGTTCCACACTTAGAACGATGGCTTCTCTCTTCAGATACAGAGGGAAACTCTGACCTCACAGGGATCAAGAGAATGAAACCGAGCAAACCTGTGGTTTGGCTCAGTTGGTGGGACCTCACCTTATGCTTAGGACTGCAGAACAGGACCCAAAGGGAAACGCAGCGTGAGACAGTAACAGGCCTTATTGACACAGGAAGAAAGACCGAGAATTCACTGATTGGCACATGGTCTGATGCTGCCTGTCCTGCCCAGAGAGCATCCTCTGCTCAGAGACCAAGGCTCACGCAAAGCTGTGCATGGCATATAGGTGAGCTTTTCCGCAGACATGCCTCCCACCGGTGATTTAACTGTCAAAGCCCCAGCTGTATAACTGCTCAAGTGCCAGCGGTTTAACTGCCAAAAGCCCAGCAGTTTAACTGCCAGAAGCTTAGCAGTTTATCTGTTCCAAACTCCAGCAGCTTAATTACCCAAAAGCCCAGCAGTTTTAAGTAGCCGAAGTTCAGCAGTTTTAACTACCCACAGCTGAGTAGTTTTAACTACTCAAAGCCTAGCAGTTTATCTGGTCAGAAGCCTTAGCTGTTTAACTGGTCAAGAGCTTCAGCAGCATAACTACACCCAGAATGCCAGCAGTTTAACTGCCCAAAGCCTCAGCTCTGCTCCTGATTCCCATCAGCCCCTGCTCAGGACACGGGGTTTGAAAAGCTCTCCCTTCTACCATCGGTTTGGCTGTGCGCATTGGCTCGGAAAGTTGGTCCTCAGTGTTCTTCTTACAAGAAGTTGCTGGCTATGGCTCTGAAACAGGCTCTGGCTCTGGCCCGCTCGCTGACTCTGCACCTCTCCTGGCACAGGCTGCATCTCTGGCTTGGTCTCTCTTCCTCATCTCTCAAAACCTTTTCATACCAGAGAGGAAAGGCACTGGGGACATATCATTGATCTTGGCCAGAAACTCCAGCACTTTCATCTTGCTGGTTTTAGTGTGGGCCCTGAGGTCTCACAGGAACTCATAATGTGCGGGATCACTGTTGGACACTTGCTGGTTCTCTAGGTACTGTTCCTCTCCCCAGTAACTCTTGGTAATGAGCTTCCTGGGTTCCCCATAGATGAAGTGCTTCATCCCAGCATACATGCCTGTCACATTCAGCACTTCCCAGATGTCTTCCTCAGGGGCACTGTTGCCATCCATGAAGATCACACCCAGGGTATTTGTCTGGAGGCCCGTCTTGGGCATGCTCTGCTCACATCACTGAGGGTGAGGTCCAAGGTGTTTCCAGGACCTAAGAGTGGCCGCTGGGGTCAACTTCATGTCAGTGCCAAGCAGTAGCCGCCTGCACTCAGAGGCTTGGCTGAACATCACAGGAAAGAGGTCCTGATAATTTTTGATGATACCATTCAGCATTTGTGCCTTTGTGGGTGGCTCCTTTGTGTGAAACTTGAGGAGCAGAAACTCCACCAGTTCACCCACATTCTCATTGATGGCATCACTGAACACGCACTTGGTGTCTGGCAGGGCCTGTGAAGTACTTGGCCCTTCCTCTTCTGGGATGCTGGAGCACTGATCTGATTTGATTGGTGAAGTGGCAGCCACCGCGATGGGGAGAAGCAGACTCTCTGAGGACGTGGGAGAGGACTTGGCAATTTGGCAGCAACAGAAACCTCCTCTGCAGTGCCTTGACTCCTGGCTGGCTCTGGGCTTACTCTGATCTGTGCCCTAAGGACTTGTGCCTGACCGTGGCCTTCACCTCCTGGTTCCTGGCACCCCTGATTTCAGGCAGCCCTGCTGCACCTGCTGATGCCTGGCAGGACTTCTGTTTACCAGAGGCTGCCCTCGCCAAAGGACAGTCTCGTCTTAATGAGGCGTCAAAGAAATGAGGGCGTACCACAGCATGCAGCCACATGCTCCCTGTGCTCTTCTGACTTGACTCCCGGCGGGACTTCTGCCATGCCTCTGCGGACGCGAGGCTGGGCTCCATCTTCGGATTTCCTTCTGTTGCTGAGTAGTATTTCATTCTGTGGGTGTACCACAGTGTTATGCCTTCACCTGTTGAAGGTAACTTCAATTCTAGTCTTTGGTGATTAGAAATAAAATCACTTTAAACAGTATATGCAGCTTATTTGTGGACATAAAATTTCAATTTCTTTAGGTAAATAGCAGAATTGCTAGATTATGTGGTGAGAGTGTTTAACTTTGTAAGAACTGCTTGTATCTTTTTGCGTTCCTGCCAGTAGAGAATGAGGCTTCCTGGTGCTCCGCATCCTTGCCAACAGTTGGAGTGTTTTTACGTTTTCGCCATTCTCACAGGTCTACCACGGTTCCTTATGGTTGTTTTAATGTGCGTGTGCACTTTTCTGAGGACAAGTGGTGTGGAGTATCTTTTCAGATGCTCATCTTCAGAGTGAGTGTATATTTTCTGTGTAGATCATTTGTCCATTTTAAACATTGTACTTTTTATGTTAAGGATATTTTGGATATCCAATATGTGCTTTTCAGGTACTTTCTCCTAGTCTGCATCTTCCCCCACCCCCCATTCTCTTAGTGATGTCCTTGCAGATAGAAATTTTTAATTTGAATAAACTTCATTTATCCATTTTTTCTTTCCTGGATCATGTTTTGGTGTTATATATAAAAACTGGTCCCCAAACCCAAGGTCTAGTAGAATTTCTTTCTCCTATGATTGCCTTTAGGGCTTTATAGGTTTGCATTTTTTTTTTTTTATTTCAAAAGCAGGTTTATTAGGAAAAGGCTAGAAGAGTACACTTGCTTGGACACAGCAGGCAGGCAGAACTGCTGTAGGTTTGCATTTAACATTTAGGTATAATACAGTGTCAGCTCATTTTTTTAAGGTTTCATAGTGCTAGAATTTTTTTATTCTGCAAGCAGTACAGTATAGCACTTTTGTCCCTTGTCTTCCAGGTCTACCTAAAAGATGGATTCATTTCCCCTCCTAACACTTTCTCTCAGAAAGAGCAGCAAGTTAATGTTGATTAGAAGGCCCAGAAATCGTCACGAAATACAGACCAAGAGGGATGCACTGAAAAACAAACATGATTTGAGGAAATACATACACCTGGAAATAATACAGAACATTGTCCACATTCCAGTAAGGAACACTTCTTTTTCTTTCTTTCTTTTTTTTTTAAACGATTTATTTATCTATACAAGCACTGGGTACACTCAGAAGCGTGGGAGGATGAGAGAATTCACCAGAGCCAGAGCTGGGAACAGGCAGACTGATGAAATACACTGCTGAGGGGAGCAGCGGGCTCAGCAGGAGAGGTCTGTGCACCACGTGGGACCCTCGCCAGCAGCCGGGGATGGAACCAGCACAGCAGTAGCTGTGGGCAGCTTCTCAGCCCCGCGCTCAACCGCTGTGCCACCAGGGGAGGCCCAGGAACACTTCTTTTTCTTTCTGAGAAACCCCACTTGAAAATTTGTGAACAAGAGAAATGACTAGGATTTAGCATTTCATTTGCATTTTCAGTGTATCATATTGTGCGAAGATAAGGGTGCTTCTTTATATGCTCAACAGCACAATGAACCCGGTTGCTCTTATTATGCCTTCAAAGTCCCCACTGAAGAAATCCTTAATCTATTGACAGTGAGGGGACGGTGTGTCTAACAATCATTTATTAATGAGTGTCAGGACTGCACTGCTTTGTTTTTATTTTCTCAAGTAGTTTTTTTAAATGTATTTTTTACATCATTTTTCTTTTTTGCACATTGTATGCATTTTGATCTTGGTTAAATTCCCCATTAATTCCCACCCTAATCCCTCCTCTTCTCCTCCCCCCATGCCAGTAGTGTGTCTCTTCTATACTTGCTTGTTGATTTGATTTTTACTTTTGCAATTAGTATTTTTCCTGGTCCCTTATTTAGGGATTTTCTCAGTTCACACTCTGAGTGAGTCCATCGTGTATTTTTCTTTTTCTTTCTGGCTTATTTTATGATCATGATTCCTTCCAGCTCCATTCATGTTGCTGCAAATTGCATGAGTTTATTGTTTTTGAATGTTGAGTGATATTCCATTGTGCATGTGCACCACATCTTCTTGGTCCAGTCATCTATTTTCGGGCATTTGGGTTGTTTCCATACTTTACAATTGTAAATAGTGCTACTGTAAACATAGGGGTACAGGTGCGATTTTGAATTAATGATCTGTGTTCCCTGGGTAAATACCTAGGAGTGGAATTGATGGATCACATGGAAGCACCATCTTCAGCAGATTGAGGAATCTCCACACAGCTCTCCATAGTGGTTGGACCAGTTTGCACTCCCGCCAGCAGTGCAGGAGAGTTCCTTTTTCTTCACATCCTCGCCAACATTTGTTGTTGCTACTTTTTTTAATATGTGCCATTCTCACTGGTGTAAGATGGTATCTCATTGTAGTTTTGATTTGCATTTCCCTGATTACAAGTGATGCTGAACATTTTTTCATATGCCTGTTGGCCATTTGCATTTCCTCTTTGGAGAAGTTCCTTTTTAGCTCTTCAGCCCATTTTTTTCTGACTGGATTATTTACTTTTTTTTATTTACTTGTTTTTGTTGAGTCTTCAGCTCCTTTTAGATTTTTGTGATCAGTCTTTTATCATTAGTGTTGTGTGCAAAAATTTTCTTCCATATTCTTTGCTCCTTTGTCAAAGATTAATTTTCCATATAAGTGTGGTTTTATTTCTGGGCTCTCTATACAGCTCCATTGGTCTGTGTGTCTGTTTTGGTGCCGATACCAAACTGTTTTCATTCTTATGGCTTTGTGGTATAGCTTGAAGTTTGGAAGTGTGATACCTCCTTCCTCCCTTGTTTTCATCAGTAGTGCTTTGGCTATTTGTGGTATTTCATGGTTCCATATGAATTTCATCAGTATTTGTTCTATTTCTTTGAAGAATGTCATTGAAATTTTTATTGGAATAGTGTTGAATCTGTATATTGCTTTCGGTAGGATGGCCATTTTAATAATGTTAATTCTTCCAATTCATGAGCAGGGGATATCTTTTCATTTCTTTGTGTCTTCTTCTATTTCTTTTAACAGAGTTTTATAATTTTCTTTGTATTGGTTTTTCACCTCTTTTGTTAGGTTTATTCCCATTATTTGCTTTTTTTTTTGTTTCAGTCATAAAAGGGATGGTTTTCTTGATTTCTTCTTCTTCAGATTGATTGTTTGTGTATAGGAAGGCTACTGATTTTTGCATGTTGATTTTGAATCCTGCTACTTTACTGAACTGGTTGATTATCTTGAGTAGTTTTTCTGTGGAGTTTTTAGTTTTTTCTATGTATATTATCATACTGTCTGCTAATAGTGATAGTTTTACTTCTTCTTTCCCTATCTGGATTCCTTGTATGTTTAGACATACATATTGACACCGATTTGGACTGTGAGGCAATTCTAAAAGGAAGCCACCAGGTTAAAATAAAGCAAAAAAACTCAATGTGGCTGATGATGTAAACCTTTGACATTGTAGTTGACACTTGCCATTTGAAGCACTTTGAATTATCACTTAAAACAAAGCTTCCCTAATCAAAACTGTTTGAATCTATTTCCTGATGGAGAGTGAGAAAGTGTTCACATGTGAAAAGGCAAGGTGACATTTCAAGTGTACTGTTCTTTAGAATGTTCTTGTTTGAGGACTGGTTTGGGTCAGTCAGCAGCATTCTTCCTATAAACAGAACTGTCTCAGGAGCTGAAGACACAACATAGGTGGAAATTCCATTGTAGCGTGAAATTCTGAAAATGTGTTAGTATGATTTAGGTGCAGATAACACTGCGAAGGGAGGAGAGAATGTGGTTCAGGACAAAATGTGCAGCCCCCGCCGGCAAGGCGGTCAGAAGTGACATGTGGGTTGGAGCAAAGGAAGGTCAGAGAGGTGGTAGGGGCAGACATGGGGGGAGGGATTCTGCAAGAACAAGAGCAAAGACCCCAGGTGGCAACAGGATGTGGCATAAAGAAGGGCACCCAAATGCCCCCAAATAGACGACTAGATGAAGAAGATGTGGTACATATACACAATGGAATATTACTCAGCAATCAAAATAGATACTCATGCAGTTTGCAGCAATAAGGATGGAGCTGGAAAGGATCATGCTCAGAATCAAAACAAGGGGGTGGGAATTGTATGGGGAATATAACCAAGATGAAAATGCATGCACTGTGAAAAATGAAAAATGATGCAAAAATATATATGTAAAAAAGGACAGCTCACCTAGGAGGGCTGGAGACAGGGCAAGGAGGTGGGGACGGGCAGGGCTGAGACCAGCGAGGGCAGTGAAGGCTGTCAAAAGGGGTTTTTGTGATGTTTCAAGCTCAGTAAGGCCACGGTAAGGCTTGAGGCAACCGAACGAATGAGGTGATTTATACTCTCACTCTTCAACTGGCTGCGGCATGGTGGATGTTTAAGGAAGGCGGGAGTAACCAGTGAGGAGCCTCAGTCATGGCCCAGTGACTTGCAGCCATCCCAGGCTGGTGGGTTCATTGTCAGTTCTCAAAGACGAGAGAGAATGAGGAGCCTTCCGTGGAGTTTTGCAGTCCCTTAAGGCTGAGACGGGTCATGGACACAGGCGGGCTACAGAGCACGAGACTCCCCCTCTGTGAGACGCAGAACAGCAGCTCCCCTCCGGCCAGAGTAGCTGGGGCGGGTGGACATCTATGGCTGTGAGGTGGCCATGGGGGTTTGAGAGAAAACTGGAATGGGCATTGGAGTCAGCAACTGAAACGGAAGTGGCCGTGACCTCTCTGTGTGGCAGCTCAGGAGCAGCAGCAGTTGGCAGGAGGGAGCAGTACAACCTCTGACGGCCACTGATGGGTCAGGTTCCCCACATGGAGATGGACCAGCGGGAACCTGCCCTGTGCGCCCTCATGCCCTGGGACAAATGAGGCGCTGGAACAATATCAGAACCGACACCCCTGAGCCAATGCATCTGAGCTTTGGGGCTCTGGCTGCGCTCCAGGCTGCTCAGGTGAGACTTGGTCCTCCGCTGATACTGTACGTGAATGATGGAGGGGTGGGTGGGGGGTGAAAGGAACCTGCAGCCTGAGCAGTAGCAGACCCCCATTGTTCACAAGAACCCACCATTTCCAGAAGCCAGGCAATTCCTGGCAGGACTCAGAGTCACAGCATCTGGACCTGTCCTTTGCAAACCACTGCTCCCCAACCCCAAGTGTGAGCAACAAGCAGATCTTTCTTTCTTTTTTTTTTTTTTTTTTAAAGATTTAATTACACAAGAACTGAGGTACATGCCAGAGGTGCGGGACAGTGAGAAGATTCATCAGAGACAGAGTGGGGAGCAGGACAGGCAGACTGACCGAAATACAGTGCTGAGGGGAGCAGCGTGCGAGACAGGGGCAGTCTGTGATGCCATGTGGGCATCTCCCTGGCAGTCTGGGAATCAAACTGGTGCTGCAGAGGCTGCGGGCAGCTCCACAGCATTGCGCTCAACGCACTGCGCCAACGGCGAGGCCCAGAAGAGATATTTCTAAGTCAGAAATCTCGGTGGGAGCTGACCAGCCCCAGCTGCCCCCAGCCCCTTCTGAGGAGGTCAGAGGGCGTCCCCACAGCACGGGGTGATGGACACACACGGCGTGTCATGCTGCTGGCGACACTCCTGACGGTGAGGGAAGGGGCTCTGCCCTCACCCCAGCAGGCAAGACAGGAGAGCAGCAGACACGGGGAGGAGGGGACCTGCAGGCCGAGCTTTACAGCACCTGCCGACCTGCCAGAGCCGCCCCGGCCTGTGGCCTGCGAGGTGGCCGATGGGCACACTCCGCTCATGGGCACAAACGGGAGAACCGTGTCCCAGAGAGTTTTCAGTGTTAGGATGGGAAGGACGGACTTTGTTGCGTCTCCCGCTGCCAACATTATGGCGTTTATGATGTCGGGTGATGGTGTCGTGTCCTGTGGAGACGCGTCAGGGCTTGAGGGAGTGACTGTGTGGAGAGACCTTTAACAGCCAAAACCCAGGACGGGTTTTCTCGCCACAGAGGAAACGGCCTCGCAGGCGTCCACGGGTTTCTTGAAGTGGGTGAATCTCAGTCTCTGGTAAGTCCTGTCCACACTCCTCTCGGCAGCTGCTTTTTCGTGAAGGCTGAAAAGCCCGGGGCGCCCCTCTGCGAGGGCTGTGGCCTCTGCTCTGACTCCATAAAGAGCCGCTGTGATGTCACCGGCAGAGCCCCCCGGAGCCCTGCCCGGAATGCGGCTGTGGGGGTAGAGCCGGGAGCTGGGACAGTGACTGTGGACCTGGAGGGAGAGGCCGTGTGCTGGTTCATTGGGTTTTCTTTGGGTTTAGTTGTTTATTTATTTACTTATTTATTTTATCTATTTTATTGTTATTTCTTTGTTTTTTTCTTATTTTCCTTTATTGTTTTATTATTTTTCTGTTATTTTTTATTTTATTTTTTTATTTAAGTTTATAATTTTTTAATTTTTCTTTTATTATTTCCCCTATTTCCCTTGTGTTATTTTTTTGTGTGTTGCTTTTTTCCCTTTGTTGTTTGTCTATTTTTTTATTTTAGTTGTTAGTTTGTAATTGTTGTTCCCTTGTGGTCTGTCCTTTTGTCTTTGTTGTTATTCTCTGTTTTATTCTTAACTTTAGTGCTTAGTTTGTTATTGGTTTGTTTTTATCATATTTTTATATTTTTATCTCGGTAATTTTTGTGGTTGTGTGTTTCATTTATTTAGTGTAGCTGGTATTAGTGGCGCCGGGTAGGGGAGCATGGTTGGTGTTGCTGGCGGAGTTAAGGTAGCCCTGGTAGCATTTCATCAGCTTTTCGAGTCCTGAGAACACAGGTGAGCAGCACCCGGGTTAATCTGCTGGCAGAGCTGGCGCTGGAGGGCTCTGGACCCCCAGGGCCCGAGCGAGTGGTGCGGGGCCACCCTCGCCGTCCGAGGCGCCCGTCTGCCGGGGGATGACGAGCTCCGCGATGCCCGCGCTGGGGGCCGGCGCCCACGCCAGGGTGAGGCTGGCGCTGCCCGGGCCCCCCGGCGCGAAGGTGGCCATCAAGGTCATCCCCAAGTCCGGCGAGCCCGAGGAGTCCCTGGCCCGCGAGGGGGGTGCGTGAAGGCCCTTCGGCACCCCAACATCGTGCAGCTCTTCCAGGCGGTGGACACCGCGGCCGAGGAGCTGCTGGTCGTGCAGTCCGCGCCGGGGGGCACCTTGGAGGATCCCCTGGGCGAGCGCGGGCGCCTGGGGGAGATGGAGGCCCGTGGGATCTTCAGGCAGGTCCTCCCGGCTGGTCAGCCGCGCCCCGGGCCCTGAAGCCACAGAACCCGCCCTGGACGCGCGCGGGGACATCGGGCTGGAGGGCTTCGGGCTCAGCGCCCCCTGCTCGCGGGCTGCGCTGCTCCAGACCTCCTGGGGCACCCCGGAATTCGCAGCCCCGAGCTCTTCCTGCGCCAGGACTGCACAGGTCCCAGGGTGGACGTCTGGAGCCTGGGGGTGATCCCCCGCAACATGGTGACCGGGAGCTGCCTTCTCGGGGACCAGCACCGTGGAGCTGCGGGCGCCGGTGCTGAGCGGCTTCTGCCCCGAGCCTGCCTCCCTCTCGGAGCAGTACCGGGACCTGCTGAGGCGGGTGATGGTGTGGGACCCCCAGACACGGAGCACCCTGGACAGCGTCCTCCAGCACCCCTGGGTGGGGCTGGAGAACGGACTCCTGCCCTGCAGCGAGCCGTCCCCGGCCGCCACGACGAGGCCGCGACGGAAGCCATGTGGGCCTGGGATTCCAGAGAGAGGACATCTCCAGGGCGGTTTCGGAGGGAAAATACGACGGGGTTATGGGGACCTTCTGGATACTGCGCTCCAGGCAGCTGGAGGCGGAGGAGGAGGGCCCGGGCCCCCCCTTCTTCCACAGGCCCTCGGTCCCGTTGGGGCCCACGGTGGCCTGGCTTCGGAGCACCCCAGGAGCCCAGCATCCCCTCGGGTCAGGCCCCCTGATGGAGGATGTCTGGATGCCCAGCATCCCCTCCGGGTCAGGCATCCTGTGGGAGGGCGCCTGGGGGCCCAGCACCACCTCCTTGCCAGGCCACCGCCTGGAGCCCATCAGAGAGCACAGCACCACCTCGGTGACAACCCCGCAGCTGGAGGGCCCCAAGAAACACATCACCACCGCCTTGGCAGGCCCCCAGCTGGAGGGGGCCAGGAATACAGGCGCAAACCAGCCCAGCCCGCAAGCCCTCCAAGCACCGACCTAAGGCCTGCTGGGCCAAGTGGCTGGCGCCTCCGGTTCAGCAATGCGGTGGCCCCTGCAGAAAGACGGGGCCATGAACACAATGCTGACGATGCAGAGTCCACACAAATTTCAGGCTGAGGTGGCAAGGCCAGAGCTAGAAGAATCATCAAAACCATTTTAAAATTTTGCTGTATCTGTGTTCCGGGGAAGTGCTGCTGAGGACCTACTGCAGCACCCGGGAATTCATGGCCCCGATTTCTTGGAAGTTCCATGGAAAACACCACCACAGAGTTCATACAGCTGGAGACTATCACCACCACACTCTGCAGAATTCACCCCCCCACACCCACCCAGTGGCCGTGGTGAACAGGAGCACACCAGAGGAGGCCGAGGCTCTGGAGAGGGGTCAGGGACTGGGCCCAGCCAGAGGGACCAGGAGCAGCATGAGATGCATAGACATGGAGCACAGATGTCCGGGAGCACAGAAGTCCAAGGATCAGGTGAAGGGCCAGGAGGGCAACGGGACTGGTGAAGCACCTGGAGGGGAGCAGAGCTGGTGAAGTGGGGGGAAGGAGAGATTGGGGGCTGCTGAGCAGGTGCAGGGCCCCAGGATGGGAGTGGAGCTGTGTGGGCGGAGCCTCCAGAGGCCCCAGGGCCAGAGACTGGGACCCCAGGGCCTTGCTTCCCCATCTTAGGCTGTATCCCATGAGGGTCACCCTGCCCCTTGCTGAGAGAGCCCTGCTGTCGGCTCCTGGGCACACGGATGGTGCAGACGATGCAGGAGCTCTTCGGGCTGAGTGGTGCTGTCAGGGACTGACATCCATGGTAGCAAGTCCTCCTGGATTGGGCCCCTTTGAAAAATAGAGATTGCAAGTTGGAGAATGGCTCACCTGCCAGCTAGTGGCAGCTTTGTAGGGCCTCCTGGTTTCCATCTGAGCCTTGTCACATCTAAGTCTGTGCAGCACTCCCCGGGGGATTTCACTAACAAAAGGGCTTCCTCACCAGGTAACTCTGTGCTTGGGCTTTATTGGCTCTTCTCTTCCAATGCAGGTCCCAGAAGGCGCAAGGAGGCGGCCGCCATGGACACACTGGCTCCCCACTGCAGGGGGCACTACCAGGTGACCTGCTCTGCCTGTGGGGCCCTGGGGCGTGGAGGCATCTGAATGGTCTTCCTCTGCCTGAAGGAGACAGTCTGATGGATTGTTTAGTTAAAATGTCTATCCCAGGACACATTAAATTGGTGTTTGAAACCGGCTGCATTTGCTTCACAGTTATGAATGCACCCATACTTCCAACGCATCGGTCATCACATACCTCAATTTCCTTTAAAATTCTTTTTTAAAATTTTTTTTAAAGCTTTATTTATTATTTTATTTATTTATACATACAAGCAGTGGGTACAGTCAGAAGCACAGGAGGGTGAGAGAATCCACCAGAGCCAGAGCGGGGAGCAGAACAGGCAGAAGGACCGAAGTACACTGCTGAGGGGAGCAGCGGGCGGCAGGAGAGGTCTGCGCGCCATGTGGGACCCTCCTCTGGTGGCCGGGGAGCAGCCAGGGATCGAAACGGCGCTGCAGAGGCTGCGGGCAGCTTCGCAACCCAGCGCTCAAATTTTTATACAAGAGCTGGGGTACTGGCCAGAGTCGTGGGAGGGTGAGAGGATTCACCAGACAGAGCAGGGAGCAGAACAGGCAGACAGACCGAAGGCACTGCTGAGGGGAGCAGCAAGTGAGACAGGAGAGGTCTGCGAGCCATGTGGGAGTCTCCCTGGCCGGCCGGGAATCGAACCGGAACTGCAGAGGCTGCGGACAGCTTCACAGCGTGGCGCTCAACCCGCTGAGCCACCGGGGAGGCCCCTCCTTTAAAATTGTTATAACCAGCATTGAAAATTTTAGAAAATTTAGAAAATTTTAGAAAAGTCAGAGTGGTCACGTGGTGATAATACAGAGAAACAGGAAAGTGAAGCAACGCTACCAATAACTATGTAATTAGGTATTTGCACTATTTTCTTTAGGTGTATGTGCATGTCTGGCACTGTGTCTGTGCAAATGTGTGCATGTGAGTCTGTCCATGAGTGTGTATGTGTGTGCCTCTGTAGGGATGAAGTGTTCATGTACCTTCTACAATCAGAAAGACACCGAGAGCTGTAGAGAATTGGTACAATGTCTTCAACAGTAAGGCCTCCAGGGGGCTACCCCATGGCTCAGCAGGGTGAGGCTGTAACAGGGTGGTCCGCAGGAAAGGGGGAGGTTCCCTGCCCCACCCAAGGGAAGGTGGAGCTGAGCAAGGAGAGAAAAAGCTGCAGAAGAGACTGAGGAAGGAAGCAGGATGGAGTCAGGAGACCTGGAGGAGGCGCATGGAGCCTGGAGACACATGAGAAACTGCGCTTGTCTTTTGGTCGTGGACTGGGTGACACAGATGTGGGTGAGACCCGTGGGGAGGTGACAATGGCAGCTTTTATCTTGATGTTGATTTTGTTCTTTTCCTTCCGGGCTTATCTGGTTGTTTCTGACCCTTTTCTGTGGGTCCCCACTGGAAGATGCTTTAGACTTGTGGCAGGCTTTGGGGCCTTGCTCTGCGCCATTCCCATATGGATGGACCTTTACCCATGAGGGGACGGGTAACTTTGGGTGCTTCATTTAGAAACTAGACTCTTTGCCTTACCTGTATTGTTTCCTAGTTTTATTAAAGTTCCTTCCCATTAAAGTTTCATATGTTTTGTGTTGATGCGGCAGATGGCAGAACCCATTTAGAATAGGCAGTTTTCCGGGCTTGGGCTGCCCCTCTCCCTGTCCTATAACAAGGCCAGCGATGTAAAGCTGTCCGCAACCTCTGTAGCACCGCAGGTTTGATCCAGGCTGGCCAGAGAGCTACCCACATGGCACAGCAGACCTTTCCTGACTTGCCCGCTGCTCCCCTCAGCAATGTATTTTGGTCCATCTGCCTCTTCTGTTCCCCACTGCCCCTCTGGTGAATCCTCTCACCCTCTGGCACCTCGGGCCAGTACCCCAGCTCTTATATAAATATAAATGAATCTTTTTTTTTTTAAAAAAAGGTGGGGCCTCCCGGGTGGCATGATGGGTTAAGCACAGCACTGTGAAGCTATGGGCAGCCTCTGCAGCAGGATTTCCATTCCCAGGCAACCAGGGAAGTGACCCAACCAGGGAAGTCACCCACATTCCTGACTCATCCACTGCTCCCTCAGCAGTGGCTTTCAATCAGTCTGCCTTTTCTGCTCCCCACTCTGTCTCTGGTGAATCCTCTCACCCCCTGCACCTCTGGCCTGTACCTGAGTTCTTGTGTGAATAAATAAATCTTTAAAAGAAAGTTTTTTTAAAGTTTGGTAGAATTCACCCATCCAACCCTAGTTTATTCTGGCTTAGAATTGCATTATTCAGGGCCTCTCTGGTGGTGCTGTTAGGGGGAAAAGGCTGTCCTAAAGCTAATTCCATACAGGCTTTGTGGACTCCACCCCCACCCCAGGCCAAAGCCAAAGGCACTGGGAACTCCAAATCCCATCACCACCAAAGGGAAGGTGGCTGGGACCTGAGGGTGGGGTTCAGTAGCCAGGTTGGTATAAAGACAGACACGTGGGCTTTGGGGGGGTCCCCCATTTTGACTCTCCGCCAGCTCGCAGCGTCCGGCCAGCTCTGAGAGTGCCTTTGGGTTTCCAGGTCGGCGGATCGGGTAGGATACATTAAAGACTTTATTTCCCTATTTTCTCCCTGAGTTGTACATTTTCCTTATTTCCTTTTCCCTTGTAAATAAACCTTTTATTAACCTTTTGTGTGTGCCTGTAGTGGAGTATTAATAAGTCCCTTTTAAGCGCGCAGGTGAGGACCCACAGCCAGGCAACCTGTTCAATATCAGGGCTGCTCTATAACAGTGCAGGAGTTAAGTCTCCGTGCTATGAAGCTCTCACCAGCTGCTGAGGCAAATGTTCAAGAGTTTGATCCAAAGCCCAGGAGCTGACCCACATGGTGCAGCAGACCTCTCCTGTCTCCCCGCTGCTCCCCTCAGCAGTGGGTTTCAGTGGATCCACCTGTTCTGCTCCCCACTCTGTCTCTGGTGAATCCTCTCACCCCCTGCAACTCTGGCCTGCACTCCCAGCTTTTGTATGCAAAAATAGATAAATCTTTTTCAAAAGGGTGTTCCTCAATTTGGCAGTGATTTTAATGCTCAGTATTCAAAACAAGATATCCTTACTTTGAAATGGAACTTCTGGTTTTGTTTCCTGTTTTTGAACATTTCACAGAAGCAACATGACCTTGGACTATTTTTTAACTTAGTCCAACAAATGCTAACATTGATGTGCGTTAATTTTTAGGCAATTAGAAAAAATTAGATTAAACAATGTATTCTGATACTGTCATAAGGTGCTTACTTGAAAATCTTTCTTCAATATAAGACGGAAATTGTTATACATTTTTCCTAATCCATTGAAGATATATTTGTTGGTAAGTTAGCATATTTTAAAATGTATTGTTTACAAACAGTATGAATTATATATTGTATTTTTTGAAGACCTCTGAAGTGATTTATAACTTAGGCAATATTACACGCTAGTGATATTATTTGTTACATCATATATAAAATGTAATATTTTCTGTCTCCCACATTTTTCCATATACTACCATATAACATGATATATACCATTTAATGTGTTTTTTTTTTTAAAGATTTATTTATACAAGCACTGGGTACAGTCAGGAGCATGGGAGGGTGAGAAAATTCACCAGAGTCAGAGTGGGGAACAGAACAAAGCAGACCGATAATGTACACTGCTGAGGGGAGCAGCGGGCACAGCAGGAGAGGTCTGTTGCGCCATGTGGGACACTTGCCATCGGCCGGGGATCGAACTGGTGCTGCAGAGGCTGCGGGCAGCTTTGCAGCCCAGCGCTCAACTGCTGTGCCACCAGGGGAGGCCCCATTTAATGTGTTCTTGTATCCTATACTGTCTATTATCTGTATACCTATGTATCATATCATTTAAGTGATAGGGTTTATTTTTATTTGAATCAAAATGATGTTTTAGAAAGGAATTGTGTATAATAATTTACAATACTAGCATTAGATTAAATGAAACTTGGATAGAAACAGGAAAAAATAGAGTATATGCAGATACTTTTAAACTCCTGTTTCCTGTGATTATCTAGAAGAACTTTGAAACACTGACCAAAATTCGTTTATTTCCATAGACTAGACTTAGTCGGTCTTGAGCATATTGCTGTCATTTTTCATGTTGGATCATTTAAAGATACACTTCAATAAAAATGATTTTAGTAGTTGTTAGATTTACATTATGGAATGTTCATTTAAGGAAATTGGCTTTTACTGTACTTGCCTTGTTTTTTTTTTTTTAAAGATTTATTTATTTATACAAGCACTGGGTATAGTCAGAAGTGTGGGAGGGTGAGAGAATTCACCAGAGCCAGAGCAGGGAGCAAAGCAGGCAGAAGAACCGAGGTACACTGCTGAGGGGAGCAGCAGGCAGCAGGAGAGGTCTGCGAGCCATGTGGGACCCTCGCCCCGTGGCCCGGGATCGAACTGGTGCCGCAGAGGCTGTGGGCAGCTTCGCAACCCAGCGCTCAACCGTTGTGCCACTGGGGAGGCCCTATACTTGCCTTGATTTTTAAGCAAAATTTTATGTCATAGCACATTAATTTCTATTATCTATGCTTGCACTTTAACACACATTTTTTATTACAATAAACAAAACTAAAGATGGTGTTAGTTGTTTGGCTCTAGGCTGCAGTCATTTCACCAAATATCTGAAAGACGAATGGAACAGACTATTGTCATAATCATACTTAGCGATTTGAGTGTTTTTAAATTCTTATTTGGAACAATAGTGTATTTGTGTGTATAATTGATGAATGGATTATAATCTTAATGATGAAATAGAAGTTACAGCTGCTAAGTAATGTGGCTTCTCTCACAAATTACTTCAGTTACAGATGTCAAGCGTTCTGCATTCCCCACTTATCAAGAAGTGGCTTGCCAAGAAGTTCTTTCATCATTAGCTTGTCTCTATACTGACCCAGATGTTGGAAATGTAAATACCCATGTCCAACGTATCTCATCCAAAAACACAATCTCCACATACAGTGTGTCTACACAATTATTCCAGACGTGAAGCGGTATATGATCTGATATCTTTCCAGTAACAACAGTTGAAAAAGTTAGCTTGTATTTATACTTAATTGTTTGCATAATCTTTACCATGTTTTTGAATAATAGAAATAGCCTGCATTGAATAGCAATGAGAATATTAAAATACTGTAGGATTTTAATGTGTAAAGT